TGGCAGGCCCAAGGGATGGCTGGAAGCCACGGGCGGGGGGGCTCGTGGGCCCCTGGGGACTGTGTCATCACACGGGGACCTGTGAACCCTCACCCACATTGCTGCACGTCCCGTCAGTCACCCTGACATCTCTACCTCTCCTATGGGAGCGCCCTGTGTCATGCAGGTCCGCGGCAGGGTGCATGTCGGGGTTTGGGGAAGGGTGGAGCAGAGACAGGTCCTGAGCAGGACATGGAGGGGCTCCACAGTCTGTACTGTGACATCCCAGACGGGTGGAGGTGGCATGAACGGCGCGCCCAGAGCAGGAAGAGCACTGTGCACAGCCAGATAGGAGTGAGGACAGACACTAGTGGAAATCGGGGCACAGAGGGGTGCACCTGGGAGCTGGGCCATGGGCTCTGCACGATCTGTTGCTCAGCACCCCCAGGGCCGGCCTGAGCAGCCCCTATGCGTGGACCACCTTCCGTCTCTTCCAGTGCCCCGTCACCGGACTCAAGGTGCATCCTTGTACTGACCTGGGAGATGGCAAGACTGTGGACCCACTGGCTGGACAGACACCAAGGCCTAGAGTGACACAATTCAAACAGAGGCCTGGCATCAGGAGCTGGGGAGTGGAAGGGCCTAGCAGAGGGCCACGTGGGCTGTCCTAGGCCCACTCCAGCCAAAGCGTGGCAAAGCGTATGGCCAGCATGACCAGGGAATGGCCTTGCTACGTGTACGGGAAGAGGGGCTAAAGGATATTGAGGGAGGAATGGGGGGCCTAGGGTCCTCAAAGGCCCTGGCCACACCCTCTTTTGGCTCTCTGGCCCTCAGTTCTGGGAGCCTATGGGTGCCCGGTCACCCCACCTAGTCCGGAGAGGGACCTTGCACACCCTGCAGGTGAATTGGAGGTTTCCTGCAGTGTGGTGACCTGTGGAGGCAGGCAGAACAGCTGTGGAGGACATCTGAGCCTCTCCTAGAGGGCTGAGGTGGGACTGAGCTATCACTCGTACACCTGGCAAGGGCACGGTGCAGGGGTCCTTCTGACACCTGGGGCTGGAAGTTCTCACAGCTGCCCTCCCCACAGGGAGGAGACTCCTCCCATGCTTGCGCAAAGGGGAAGCAGCAGCCCGGCTGCACTGTGGTGGGGTGTGGAGACTGCAGTGCAGGGCTCAGCCGCCCTGGGGTAGGAGGTGCAGAGCAGGTAGGACCAACAAACAAGGACTCTTGCAGAGCCTGGTAGGGTGGCAGTGAAATACAACGCCCGGCCTCATAAACAGCAGATTGCCTGGTTTCTCTTGCAGCCTGAACACAGCAGCCCTGGCATTGAGACCACCCTGGCAGCTCCCGGGACCCTCTGCCATGCTGCCGGTCTGAGGATGCCATTCTTCTGGAGGCAAAGTGGGGGCCGCTTGGTTCTGAGCGTTTTTATCTCCCAGTTAGTTCTAGGAGGGCAATCCTCCCATCCCCAAATCCTGATCCAGATGAGCTGAGCTAGAGGTTAGCACAGGGTAGACGGCAGCAAGCTTGTCCTTATGGTCCGTACTCCAGAACAGTTGTTCACAGAGGTCCTGCGTTTTCTTCAAGACAAAACCCACCTAGGCCAGATGTAGCCAGATCACTGTGGGTTCTTGGATTTCTCTAAAGATCTGACCTGGTGACAGACTGTTGCTGGAGGCCCTGAAGGCCTGGGGCCTGGCCACAGCAGTGTAGTTATCTTTGCTGAGTTGGGCTGGGCTGAGCAGGGCTTCTGTCCTCAGCGTTAGCACTCAGGTCTGGCTGAACCCCCACCCCACCCTCAGGGCTCTGGGCAGGGGAAGGGTCAAGGACAGGGCTGGAGGTGCAGTTCGCAGGGGAGTCACACCTGTGGTCATCCTGAGTCATAGCACTCTGCCTGGCCTGTGCTCTCCCAGCAGGCTGCAGGGCCTGAGCTATGGAGCCGGATCATCATGGCTCCGGATGCGTCTGGGGTCTCCAAGAGGCAGAAGTGCTGATCCCTGGCTCCAAACCTGGCACGGCCACAGCAAGGGAGCACTACTAAACCCCGGACCGAACCCCAGGAAGGAAACTGGATTCAACAGCCCTTCCAGAGTCTGCAGTAGGCTCCCTGCCTTGCACCTAGTAGGGTGTGCCTGGGGCTAAGAACAAGTTCTCAAGGGGGCCCAGCTCCTCCACTATAATTTTAAAGCAAACTTCCACATTTGATGGTTGTCCAAACTTGGCAGCCCAATTTGTAAAATTCACTATCTGAAGTGAGAAGTACGTTTTCCTCTGTGCTCCGGGCAGGGCAGATCCCCTCTGCATGTGAATGCCACCGTGCACCATCTCCGGAGGTGACACATGCCACTCTGCACGGCAAGTGGTGCTCGGGAGGGCAGTGGAAGCTGAGCAGGCAGGCACGTCCCCAGGTAAGGGGACACACTCCTTCCACAGAGAGACCTGGACGCGGGGGACAGAAGCCTGACGGCACAGCACAAACACTTCAAGTGCGGCAGAGCAGCACCACCCGGCATCTCTGGTGCCACCCCGGCCCAAGACCCGCAGCTAAAGGAGAAAGCAGGAGCCAGAGAGAAGGCCTTGGTCAGGCAGGCAGACTTGGGTGTGTTCTGCTTTCCCACTTCAGAAAGACTCGCTGAGGTCTGGTTGAGTGAAGACAGACGAGACACGCACAACCGCAGACTTAGACCAAGTATACATTTGAGTTTCTACAAGGCCCCCATCACGTTTAGGGAAATACAGCTCAAGTGTATACAAATTACACTGATAGTATATACAAAAGTATTTGCTACATTTTTTGAACAATACCAGCTATTTAATTTGCAGTAAATAGAACGTTACAAAACCAGTCCAGTAATGCATTTTCTATTAAGCACATTATACAACATAATTCAATTTTATTAAACATTAACTTCAAAATAAGACCAGTCCTCTGTAGGAAGAAAAGCTACTTCTGTAATTCACTTAGTAAACACACAAGTCCAACACTGCAGCAGGGCCAGCCTTTTCTGAGGAAAAGCAGAGGCTTCAGGGGCCTCCCTTTTGGGATAAAATCCTACCCGCCCACAGCTGTGATGGGCAGAGGCGCTGCCCAGGTACATAGGATTCCAGAGCCCCCCCGCCATTGCCTGTGACAACCGTCCTCACAACTGCTGATGTAATCACACGGACCCTTAAGATCCAAGGGAGGCAGAGATGCGGAGTGCGCCAGCCAAGGGCTCAGGAGCCAGGTAGAAGGGAAGCAGAGCCTCCTGAGCCTTCCTTGAGGGCGAGGCCACTGAGCCCCGCCTTCAGCCTTGGAGAGCCTGAGCAGAGAACCCAGCCAGACCACGCAGCCCTGGGGCCGGCACAGAACACAAGTGTGCTCCTTAAGCTGCAAGACGTGGCTCATTTGTCACACCAGGCAACAAAGAGCTAACACACTGCCAGGAGTCACTTCCTTCATCTAACAGATCTGGCAGTTTGTGTTCAGGCTTGGAATGCATTTTTCCTCTCCAGCTGCTATATTAAAACAGTATCCTCCTTTGCAGGCAACTTTTGAAAAGCCTTAATATGAACCACACGTTGTTTTATGTTCATTCTCAAGTCAGTTCCGACATCTGACTCAGTTCTGTTTTCTCAGGAACTGCTATCTGCTACCAAGGTAAACAGCTGCCCACCAGCCTTGTTCACATAGTGCCTCCTGCAGGGACCGAGCCCAGGACCTCGCTCTACTTCAGAGCTCCACTGCTGCCCCTGGACAGCAGCTCTGACACATCTCCTGTCATCCCCCAGCTGGGGGGTCTCTGCTACTTCCCAGACATGCCAAGCAAAGGCTTGGGGCAGGAGAGCACAGACTTCAACACTGGGCACCTGAAGGACTTCCCCAGCATAACTGGACTAAATTGGCACCAAGGTGATTAAGTACACTTGGGGAAAAACTGCAAACATAAGATTTTAAAAAAACACACCAGTTTTTACAGGTCGAGTCATTTTTGGAAGAACCACGCAAAGCCATGAACCAGGGTCCCTGTGGCCCCTGGATGGACTCCTCATGTCTCTGCCCTGGGTTTCCTGGTTCACAGGTGGCTTCACTCAGCTGGCAGGGACTCAGCAGAAACAGGAGAACAAGCTGGTTGGGACAGTCCGGCCTCTGTTATGGCATACCCCCTTCCTTGGGGATCTAAACATAAAGCCCGAAGAATGTCTCCAGGAGGGTGGCGGTCAAAACTCTGCTGTTGCTGTTCACATGTTCTTCAATCCGTTCCTCCAAAAGCACAGGTGCAGAAGACTAGACCAGGGTGGGCATGCACCCCTTAGTATCAATCTTACCTGCTCCAGGGGACCCCAATCCATGTATGTGCTTGAGAGAAGCCCCTCCAATATTCAAAGTGAGGACAGCTTGGAAGAAACAATTTTCGGTGCCGGTGAATTTTTTTTTTTAAACCCTTCTCTTATGCTTAAAGAGGCACCAAAAGGTACCAAGAAAGCACCAAAGCATAAACTGGAATAGGATGCTTTCTACAACCTAAACTTCCATATCACACACTTTGCACTCCTTAGAGGCAGTTCAGGAATTTATAGTTAAGGCCTTTTCCTTCCTAAGTAGGCCACCAGCCTGAAGCAATGCGGTCCATAGGCAGCATGACGCCCACTTTCCCAAGCCCCAGGGAGGCGGAGAAAGAAGGTGAGTTAGACACTGACAGCCCCTCTTGCCTTACGCTCCTGCTGCCGCCAGCGTGAGGTCTGGGTGGTCAGTTCTGCCCAGACCCGGTCTGGGAGACAAACGCCTGCCGCTTTTAGCGGTTCCCCCACAGCTCTCTGCTTGGCAGCATGTATGCTAAGACCTGAAAAACGGGCAGTAAGAACCTGTATTCTAAGGAATAGTGAGATGGGGAGAAACAGTCTATCTAAAGTAATACCGCAAATTATACTTACATAAATTTCACCATTTCTTGATTCAAGAAAATGAAAATTCCATAGTTGGCTACTGTAAAATGTGGCATAAAAATATTTCTAAGAGACATCTGCAAACTCGTCTTCACATGTACATAAGGAGTGACAATTAAGAAATGTCTTCCTTTGAAATTCACCTCTAATATCGAAATAGAAGAACAGACTGTCATGATGTTTCTGAAACTTTTAAGTTACCAGATATTTACAAACAAGACATAATTTGTATCAAAAAGGTGGTTTTCAGGTGTATCTGCTGCTTTCACTGGGGCTCCGGTGATGAGAGTAACTTCGGTCACTTTCACTGTCAGAACCATAAGATCTACAACTCCTGTTAACAAAACAGAACAAGGGCCGGGGATTGCTCAGTGGTTTTTCCATCTGCCTCTCAAGCTCAAGGACAGGAGTTTGATCCCCGGTACCAAAAAACAAAACAAAACAAAATAAAAAAAACAGAATGTATGGAAACATCTTGACTGTCCACCTTCTGAATCCCTCCATGAGGTCCTGATCTCGTGATCTGAGTGGCTCCCAAACACTACTGACAGGACAGCCTGGCACAGGAAGTGGACACTGGGCTCTGACTGTGGCAATGCCTCTCACTTCTCACGGATGTTTAAGACAGCTGGTGGCAGTATCAAGGCTAGGAAACCTCACACCTTGGGAAATTTACTTGAAATCCATTTACACATGTGAGCAGAATAACGTTCTGTGGTGCCCAAGACAGGACCAGCATTCGATGAGATCACCAGAGGAAGGGAGAGGGAGATGCGCTGTAGTTTTATTAAAGGCAGGGAGGCCAAATGGGAGCCCCGCAAAGGTGGAAGTGGTCTGCACACTGACACTGAGCCGAGAGGACCTACTTATGGTCCCTAGTCAGAGAGCTTAGAAAAAATCCAACAAGAGCCAATCACAGTATCGGCAGCGGCCCGTATGGCTCCCTAAGGGCCATAGATAATACAGAACAGCCGGCAAGAAAGCAGTTAGGGACAGTGAGCACTGCAGGGGCACAGGGGCAGCTTGCCTCCCTGCACTTGGGAGGGAGGCTTCTGGAACAGTGGGCTGCAGTGGCGACCTGAGTGTCCTTTCAGGAAGCAGAGGAGATGGTGGAGAGGGCACCTGTGTCTCTAGGCAGAAGGAAAGGGTCAGAATCAGAGATGGAGGGGTAAGAGAAGCGGCCCTGCAGGCAGTGCTGAGAACCTGGACCTGGACTTGCCCGTGTGCACCAGAGTACTCAGGTGACATCGACACTGCATCACATGGATGGGGCAGGAGGCCGGACCCACCAGAAAGGGTAACTCAGGAGTTATCAGAGACTCGCGATCATCAAAATGCTATATAAAGCACAATGTACAGAACACATAACAATGATTTTACTAAACTGACAGGAGAGAACCTTAATCTTGCCAAGACTCTCTTCTATTACCTTTTTTTCCTATGTTCTTTTCTTATTTTATTACCTATTTTCTTACTTTCTTTTTCTATGGAAATAAGAAAATGGAAAGCCTGACTTTAGGAAGTGGCTGGAATGCAGTGGCCTTCTTTCATCCTTCCTCAAGGACTGCATGTTCAGCAATCCGCGAACACTTCCAACTCCTCTGAGATGAGACACGGACAAGACCCAGCAAGTATCCCCTGGGGACTCCTAGTACCAAGGCTGCTTCCAGAAGTGCCAGGCGTCATAAATGTGGGAAGAGGGGACTTCTATACTCGGAGGGCTACACTTTCTCCACACTAGCAGTCAGTGCCTGTGGGACTGAGAACCCACAGTAACTCTGGGGCTCCCAGAAGAAGGTCCTTAGCCTGGCTTGATGGCGCCATCTGTAAGCCCAGCACACGGGAGGCTGAGGCAGGAAGATCACGAGTTTAAGGACAGCCTGGGCTCTATAGCAAGGCCCCATCACAGAAACCCAGCATCCACCATGAAACAAAAACAACAGAAGGACCCACCTGGACCACCTGTTGTAGCTTCTGCCTCGGTGATAACTGTCACTCCTGCGGCCCCGGCTCCGGCTCCGACTCCTGCTATCGTAGCTGTCATAAGTGTAGGACCTGCTTTAACAGCAACAATACACAATTTTCCCATGCAAAAACTCCAATCCCCACTTCATGGGCACTTATTTAATGACAGCATGAGGACCCACATACACAACAAGTACTGCAAACATTTAGCAACTGCCCCTCATCATTTACTATATTAAAAAGAAAAATGTTTATTTTTTTTCTGCATTGGAAAAAAAAGAAAAACAAAATGAACACCGAGTTTCACGAACTCTGATGGATCTTTTCAGGCAATTACATTTAACAAACACTTCCCGGCACAATTTGCCGCTGAAATTTTTCCCATCAGAGTGAAATAGGCCAAAAGATAAAAACTCCAAAAGACCTCATTTGGATAGGGTCTGATTTGAGACATATACAGGTAATAAGTTATCAAATAAAAAAACACCACAGGTGAGGGCCAGTGGCAGGGTGCAGGCCCAGCACGTGCAAGGTGCTGGGCTCGAGCCCGTGTCAACAACAGGACAGCACACCGCCACCCCCACCCCTGCCATGCGAGTGGCCTCGTACTCAGCTCCGGTCTAGACTCCCACCCTGTCCTACCTGGACCGGCTGTGGGGGTCATACGAGCTGCTCCTGGACCTGCTCCTGCTGGATGTCCTGGGGACCACAGGAAAGAATCATCTTGGGGACAGGTGGCCAGGCTCATCAAATTCTAGACTAGTTCTTGACCACCATGGTGAAAAACCCAATGATACCACGGAAGCCAACTTCCCTATCGATACCCTAAAACCCCTTCCATGGAGAAGAAGAAAGGCATGCATGAGCGTCACTGTGGAGCCCTGACCCACAGTGAGTACACTGAGGCCACAGCCTCAGGGAACGGAAGTAGCGGGGAGCAGAACTGTGGCGCACACCCCTCCCACCTGGTCCCCTGTGGTCCTGTGCTGCTCTCCAACCTGGCCAGGGTGACCATGACTACGAGCCCTGGCAAGACGTGCTCGGGATGGAGAGGGCACGGCAGGCCTCTCTGCCCTACCCTGAGAAGATCCCACCGAGGAGCAGCCAGGAGCGTTCTGCGCCCTGCAAGCCCACCTGTGACTATCGTAGCTTCGGTAGGAGCGGCTGTGGCTGCGGCCTCGGCTCTGCCATCCTCGGCTCCGACTTCTGGAATAGCTTCTGGATCTATGAGACACCAGTGAAAACACCAGCACATCAGTCACCTCGCCACAATGGCAACATGAATTACAGGTCAGGCGGGAAGGGGATGCAGCCACTCTGGAGGCAATCCAGAAACAAGCGTGCTTCCAAGTTAATAGTACAGAGCAAGGAAAAGCTGCCAATGACCATACAGCCGCAGCTCCAACCCAGACAGAGGGAAGGATCCAAGCCCGTGAGTGAAGCCCAGGTCCAGACACCATCCTGAGCGAGAAAGGTGAGGGACAGCATCTTCATGTGTAAAGGCTTTCTTTTATAAAAGATCTCAGAAATGCATACAGAGAGAAACGTTTCTAGGGGGGAAAACAGCAAAATTATAACACAAGCTTCCAATAGCGGTTAATTCTAGGAGGGCAAAAAGCAAGTAGGGTGGCACTGGTACACCAGAGCTCTACTTTTTAAGCTAGGTTCAAAAAGACCCATCATGTTAATTTTGTACTTTTTATCATTTATTTATCGTTGGCAACTATTTAATGTTTAATCAATGCAACACTTAGGCCCTACTTTACTCAGTCACTCAAGAGTGGCAGGGCACCTCTGAGTGCGAACCTCTCATGCAGGGGTGACGTGACCTGCTCAGTGTTCCTGCAGGACTACAAACAGTTTGTTCTGATGAGACCCTAGGTGTTTCCCAGCCAACAGCAGAGCCAGATCCTGTGACAGTGACCAAGGAAGAGAAGGACACTGTGAGGGAGTCAGGCCAAAGCAGGGAGGGCAGTGCCCAGGCATGGCCATCTCAGTCTGCTGTCCTTGGGCTGCATGGCAACATCCTAGAGCAACTACCTGTCCCACCGCTCCTCTTAAAGACTGAAATGTCACCTGCTCCAGAGGCAGGGCAGGAAGCAGGTGAGGGGTGAGCAACAGTGAGCAGCCAGGAAGCTGGAGGAGCTCAGTGGGTACCTGTGACACACAAACAATGGCCTGGGACAAAGGGCCAGGTGGCCAGCTCTGTGTCTGCTGGTGTGGGGAGAGGCGGCAAAGGGCTTCTGGGACAAGGGGCTGAGAAGGCCCGGGTGTGGCCTTGCAGGAGTCCCTGAAAACCTCCATCAGTTCAGTGAGGCCAGCAAGCATGCAGCTGCTGGGGATGGCCAGGGGCAGTTCCTTTCTAACTCAAGTCTGGAGAAGTGCAGAAGACAGATGGGAAAAGGAGGAAAGAAAGGGAATGATGGTCAAGGAGTCTGTATTTTAAATTCAAACAGTGAAAAGCAAGCCCAATAAAATAGGAGATGTGAGTAATGAAGACAGAGGTAAACCACAAAGTGTTTCATAAGGAAAAAGAGAAGGCAACACAGCTACTGATGAACTATCGCTATGGCCTTTTTTTTTACTACCTTGCTCTTATTCTCTATACTATCCAGTCTACACCCTTGCATCATTACAAAAGTTACATGAACTTTTGCAACTTGAACAACAGGAAAGTCTGAAGATGACTTTTACCCTCCCTCCAGATAAAGGTCTTCAGCACACATCCTGGTCAGGTAACCACCTCTCTGACACTTACCTTCTGGACGTGTGCAATACAAGTTTATGATCGCTGCAGAGTCTGCTAACTCAGGATTCCTGCCAGAGGCCTCAGGCAGGGCACAAAAAGCAGCCTTATACCTTTAGAGACAGACAACTCACCAACACCTAGGCAACTCATTTCTCTTTCACTTAAGTCCAAATTTCTTCTCCTGAAATTTCCCCACCGCCTGTGCCCTCAGTCCCATGTTAGGTATCTAGAGACAAAGTCTTGTCCCTAACTCTGGCACTCTTCCAAGCTGAAGAGGAACAGATGCTCCTTGGGGAAACCAAAGGAAAGAGAACAGTGCTTACCGATAAGATGACGTGGAAGTTCTCGATCGACTTCTGGAGCGACTGTAGGAGATGGACCTAGCTCTGTGTCGGGATTTGGTGTCAGATTTACTGCGGGATCTACTTGGACTCCTGGACTGAGTGTCGTCATCCCGACTAGGTGTCTGCTCGTCACTTGAACTTTCCTGATTTCTTGGTCTGCGGTTCAGTCGTGCTGTCTTCCTTACTTCATCAAAGAGTGACCCAGGCCGAACTTTGTTTTTGCTTTTGATTTCTATCCTTAAGCCTTGTGGCTTCATCTCAGGTGCAACAGTTAGGACCTTGGCCTCTGCAGCATTGGATGTGGAAGCAGGAGGGGCCCACAGGTTCCCCACACCCTGCAGGGGTTTCCACTTGTTATCCAAGAGACTGCCCTGGCTCTTCTCGGCTGCCTCCCTCTTCCCAACACTTTTACCAGGGCTGGCCGCGCTGGCTGAGTTGCTGTCCTGTTTTACCCCTTCTGCCCCTGTTTTGTTTTCAGATGTGCTGCCTTCCTGTCTCAGTCTGCCTGTGTCAGGAGGCTCCGTGTGCAGATCCTGTTTGAGAACAGTGCTCATCTGTGGGGTGCTGAGCCGTGAAACGGCCAGGGGGGAAGTCCCTTCTCCCTTGACTGGGGAGCTTCTCTCGGGGGTGCAGATTTCCATGTTATCATCTGCCTGAAACACATCCTCTGCTCCGCTTGGGGCACCTTCTTCAACATGCTGAGTGTTTCGGGGCAAACTGGCCCCCTCTTCCTCGGGAACTAAAGCTGTGGGACAAATATTGGGCTTACTGTCACTTTCGGCAAGCTGATCCAGGGCTGACGACACAGTCACTGTGCTGTGTTGTTGTGAAAGCCTGGCCTTGTCGCAAGATTTCTCAGTGTGAGGAGTATCATTTTTTAGCGTTTCACTGTTTTCAGGAAGTTCTTTTTTTTCTTTTGACTCTTGAGTGATTTGCTTTTCGTCAATCTCCTCTTCTTCCTCCTCCTCCTCCCCAAATTCTAGTGGAGGCTGCCAGTGGAATGCTTGCTTTCGTTTTGGAGGCTTGTGCTTGTCTTTTTTCCCTTTCACTTTCTCCTTCACTTTCTTGGTGTGATCCCTTTTCAGATTTTCCTTTGAGGAGTGTTTGTGCTTTCGTGGCTTTGCTCTGTTGTTTTCGGAGTTAGAGTTGGACCCTTCAGAACCAGAAGTCGAGGGCCGCTGTCTGCTGGACTTCTGGGCACCACTATCGGGCAGCGCCGCATTTGCTGGAGACTTTGCCTTGGGTTTGGCTTTGATGTGAACTGCACTGAGTTCTGACTCAGAATCTGATGTGGCCTCCCCTTCCTCCTTGTCAGAAGACCTCCCAGAACCCTTTGGATTGGTTTTAATTACATCTCGTTCTGAATTTGACTCAGAGTCCCATTTACTCCCAGCATAATTCTTCCTTTTGGGCTTGTTGCCATTTCTGAAGTGATCAGAAAGATTCTCTTTTGAATTTCTCATTTTGGAACGCAAGCATTCCCGTTCAGGTTTGGATCTCTCTGCATCACTGCCTTTTTCCTGTTTATTATTCGTTACTTCCACTCTGCCCTGCTTCTCTCTCTCGTGGGCTGAATGTACGACCTGAACACTTGACTGTTCGTTGTCTGAAGAAGAATCTACAGAGGACCTGCTCTCGCTGTACCGTCTTCTCCGACGTGAAGACCGGTCTCTACCTCTGGCATGTTGACCACGCAGTGTCTTTTCAGAACGGCTGCTGTGCCTTTTATTGGAAGCGTTACTTTTCTCCCCACTGGATCTGAATTTCCTCCTGGCCCGTCTCTCCCCGTCACTGCCCGCGGAAGTGTACGAAGACGACCTACTGCACCGTGAGTGATCACTGTACTTACCTCGTGAGTGAGACCTGGAGGATAGAGGCCGGGACCTGGAACGTGAACTAGCCGGACTACGGGATCTCGTGTAGGACCTAGAATAAGATCTGCTCCTACTCCTAGAAGATCTGCTCCCTGACCTCGGCGAACTTTCGGAACTTCTATCACTGTATTTTGAATAAGCACTCCGATCACTTTCTGAATTTTTTCCTCTTTTATGGTAGGATGATGAACTGCCAGTCTCTTTAACACTTGCTAAACTGTAAGTACTTTGGATGGGCAGCAGATGAGTCGTTTTAGCTTTCATTTCCTGAATTCGCTCATAGGACGGCTTCCAAGGCTTCTGCCCAGGCTTCCACCGTGAAGGGGGGGGACTGTCACTCAGTGGTATCACTGGGATATTTTCTGTTACCGCTGGCTGTACTACTACATTTTCATTCTGTGGCACTGTTGCTCTTAAAGATTCTGTTTTAACTGGTTTATTGTCACTCGACTGAGAAGCTGTTGCTCTTGGTGATTTTGATGCTGTCCTTCGAGGCCCTGACTTGGAACTCGATCTGGACTTGGATCTACTCTGAGAATGTGATGAGGACCTCGATGCAGGCCTTGATGTGCAGCTTCCTCTAGAATAGGACCTCGAGGGAGACTTCGATCTGGGGGAGTCCCTGCTGGAATGGGTCGAAGAGCTCTGGCCGCCCCTGTCAGATTGGGACCAGTCCCTCTTGGACGAGTGATGAGATGATAAGGAGGAAGAGCGAGACCTCCTTTCTCTATCACAAGAGGACCTCACCTGTCGAGTGGAAGATTTCGAAGATTCTATGTCAGATAGCACAACTTTTCGCTTCTTAGTCTGTCTGTGTCTTCTGTAGTGCTTCTGCTTTTTGGCTTTCTTTTTATGCTTAACTTTTTTTTCCTTTCTGCGTTTTTTATGATGACCATCAGAGTGTCTTGCTGTACTCAGGTCTGAGTAATATCCACTATAGGACCATGACCGAGATCTCTGTGACAAGCTTCTCTCATCCCACCGGCTTGAAGAGGGATCACTTAACCTACAGACAGGGACAAAATACAAATGAAGTCACTGGGAAACATGTTTTCAATACTTGAAACACAGTTCCTGTCAAAAACAAAATCAACTCGACGTACAACTAAGAATCACGAATCAAAGAGTTATGGACCTGGTCTTGACCTTATACTTTCAGAGACAAATAACAACTCATGGCAGATTCACTAACAAAGGGCTTTTTGTTTTTTAAGTGAAGAAAGAAATATGAAAACCAAATAAACACATCACAAGACACTGCTGATATGCTGAGTTCCTGGCTGGGATCTGCTCACAGCTCTTTTCCTCTAGAAGCAATTTTTAAGGGAGAGTCAAAGCAGGTTCCCCAACAATTCTGTTGTGTTCCTAGCTTAAATTTTATCTTCTGTGGTGCTGGGGATCAAACACAGTGTCACAAATACTAAGCAAGCATTCTACCTGAGCCACACACTCAGCCCTTGCCTCTTGCTCCAAAGAAGCCAGCATGAATTGTTTCCCCTCCCATCCTCGTCCTCCTCCACTGAGGAAAAAATGACATGAAAACTATGGTTTCCAATCTTAGTGGCAATGCCACAGGCTCAAATCAAGACTCCTCAGCACCACTATGTACCAGCTACTTCCACCCAGCAGACACGTCTTTCTTCTCTCTCCGCACATCCAGCCACTCTGAGAGACACCTAAAGAGAAAACGATAATTCTGCCATGAAGAATACACAGGGCTCCCACAGTGCATTTTCCACTGGCTATCCTGAGGCCAACTCCATTTCTAAAACAGATACTCACTGTGGGGCATCACTGAGGGTAAGAGACAGGTACGCTTCTGAAGACGCAATGGTCTGCACGCACATAACCAGGATAGGTTTCCTACCTGCCAATTAATTTGTCGGTGACTAAGACTCCTAGGCTAGGAAAGAATCGGCTGTAGTATGTGACCTTAAAATCTTGATTACTTCTAAAATTGAGTGCCAGTTCTTCAAAACATTCAGTAGATGGGAAACCACTGTGAAAGCCCCCAAAGCCATTCGCCTTACCTACTTAACAGTACTACCACTTTTGCCAAGTATCCCTAAATGTATTACCTTTGGCCACAACCTAATTCCGAATGTCAACCTTTAAGGGGAAGTGTAGGCTTAGGCTACATTCCCTCAGCACTACTCAGGATATCACAAAGCCTGCTCAGTGCCTCCCTCCCAGCTCTCACTTGTCTCCTTTACTCCACTTCTCTCCACTTGGCGGTCGGTACGCTCTCAGCCTCTGCATCTCCTCCTTCCAGTGAGGAGGAGTTTCACTGCTGTCATTGTTCTCAGACTCCGAACAGGATCTCGATCTTGGAGGTGTGTGATAGCGCTGTACACACAAAGGAAAGAGCTACTTTTAAAATGCCTTGCAGGGCCGGGGATTTAGCTCAGTGGTTCCGCTGCCTGCCTTGCAAGCACAAGGACCAGAGTTCAAACCCTGGCACCCCCCACCAATAAAAACCCCTCTCAATTACAGGCTGCTACAGGGTCAAAGTCAGGCAAAAGACTCAGAGGTAATGAGTTAAGTACCAAGAGAATGGCACAAAGTTATTTCAAACATAAGGCAGTCAGAAAGATGGAAAAGGCTGCTATTCACCTGTCATCGATCCCCTACAAAATTTTCCTCTTCAAAGTCCTAACAGCTACATTCACTAGACTTGATTATTCATTGTATTGTAATTTCTCAACATCTTCAGTATTTTATAGTACATTCATTTCATACTTAATTAAACCCATCCAAACAAAACTATGAACTGTAACCCAATAGCAGTACCTTCCCATTACTGAAAAATACAACTGATTTCTCACAAAGATTTTCTATTTTACCTAAAATCAAAGCTAGGATTTTACTAATAGGTTTAAAAAAAGCCAGTTTAAGTAAGTAATTCACAAAGGGCAAAGTCTTAGGACACATACAATGGTACCCCTTCCTTTAATCTTCCGTCCAGACTTTGACACAGATGGTTTCTGATCACTTACAGTGGGTGCAACATCTGGAATCTTCCTAGAAAAGAAGTTGGGATGAATATGAAAAATTAGCAAGTACCAGGCAGTGTTAAAATGCAAAATGTATGCTCCTACTCTTTAAAAACAGTTTCAAAATATTTTGTGACATGAAGATTACTTGAAATTCAAGTTTCAACTTCCATAAATCAAGTTTTATAGACATTCGGCCACCTTATCTGCTCACGCATTTTTTGAGCTGTCTGCATGTGGTGATCCCCTGCTTTACACTGCTTTGGGGCACTCAGAATCCCAATGGTGTAGTTACAACCTGCCAGCATGCAAGTGCTACTCATATCACCCACCTACACCAGAGTAAATCTTCAGAGACGGAAGTGCATGAAATCACAGTGCAGGGCAGCATTATCAAATGGACAGCATCAACGTGTTTTAGGAGAGAATACAAACTCTGAATTCTAAGAAGAGTTAAATGGAATTCCAATTTGCTTATTAGTAGACTTAAAAAGATGATACTCAGTTTGTACTATACTTTGCATCTTGATAAAACGTTTGTGGAAAGGCAAGGGCATATTTCACTTTGAGCCCAGCATGGACAACTTAGTGAGGTCTTGTTTCAAAAAACTTTTTAAAAAGGGCAGAAGCCCAGGATTCCAACTCCATTACCACCATCACCCTCCAAGACACGAAAAAATTATCTTGAGACAGGATATTGCTAAGTAGTCACCCAGGCTGGCACTGAATCACTGAAGCTGTGATCCTGCCGCCTCAGCCTCTCAGGTCACAGGGATTACAGACATGCACCACGATGAGCAACTAAATAGTATTTTTTGAGACCAAATCTAAAGCCACACACTAGCTTTTACAAAGCAGAAGTTTCACTGAGCAAGTTAACGCTAGTAACATTTATGACACTACGTATCTCTAATCACCATGCAATTAATTTCGCACTATTAAAACTAAAACATAGGTTTCATGCCCCAACTGGATTCCAAAAGTTCAAGTAGTCTACTATTCTGATAACCAAAAGCTCAACGCTTCAATGAAAGGCCTGTGACCTCCAGTAAGAACCTCTTACCTGGCCAACTTACCCAGCCTCCTTTCCCTACTACTGTAGTCAAATGTAAATTCTAAGGGGTATCTGGTATCTCTCTCCTACAGAGTGCTTTCAGAGTGTTCTGAACATAGGCCGTGACAATAAATGAATATGAAATGGCAATGAACCGATGGAGTTTCTACCAGAGAAATAAAGGCACAGTGTCATCATCCTACTCACGGCTCAGGCTCCACCGGGACAACAGGCATATCTCTCCTCAGTAAAAATCGGTTCTCAGGCACTGGAGGAATCTCTTCTGGGCGGACAACAGGCTTTTCCCTTTTAGCATTTGAATCCACTGGTCTGTTCTCATTGGTATCACTCCTCTCAGAGTGACTTTGAAAGGACAAACCAAGACAGCAATTAAGATGTGTAGTGCTGCTTTTGTTCCATGATAATTAAAGCATATAAAACTTGGCAATAAAATAACAGCAAAACTACTGATAGCTTACAAGTCTCAATCAAAGGGTTTTATGATTTTTCTCACAGAGAACACAAAAAAATCAGCCCAGAGTACTAAAATGTTGATATGAAAATTGTCAAGTGATCCTAACTTTTTCTCTTTAAGTTTCAGAGATTATTTTCACCTAAAAACACACAAATACTTAATATGAAATGTCTATGCTACTCTGTGCCAAATTTCAGTCTGGACAAGGTCCAAAAATTCTAGCCTTGTCAACCATAGGTAATAAAACTGAGTCTCTAGAGTCACACACATTTCTCCTACCCTAGGGTACGGTGGGGGTGGGGTGGGGAGATGGCCTCAGGGTTTTGCACTTACACTTTTGGGCTCCTGACGTGTTTACTCCTTGGCTCCTCTGAACTGCTCGCTTCCTTTCGTCTCCGTTTAGAATGTTTAGCTTTTGGCCTCCTCTTATGTTTCCTTCTCCTATTTCTCTGATACTCAATTTCACTTTCTGAAGATGATTCTGAAGAGGAAGAGGAACTGGAAGAGGAATCTGAGTCTTCTGAATGTACTGGTTTCTTCCTTTTTTTTTCAAAAACTTTTAATAAAAATTAACAAAAATATTAGCACTACAGTCCAGTGCTTGCACTTCAGACTAAACTTAAGCAAACTAAAAATGAAATTTAAATATATTTTTTCAAGTTAATAAAACTATTGCTTGCAAGACTGCAGAAAGCCTGTATTCTAAATGTGTCAGATAATAGGAAAATTAATAGTTATGTAAGATGACAAATGATAAATGCTAAGATAGAAAAGTAAATCAATATGAGCAAAGCAGAGCCCTGAAGGAGGAAGGAGTTGTGCAGATTCTAGTGACAAGGGTTCTAGAGGGAGAGAAGACTGCCAGTAGGTCCCTGGGTAGCACAAGGCCACCACGCTAAGAGGCAGAGGAGGAAGGAAGATTGGAGAGCTCAATTATCCAGGGCCTGCTGGGCTACCGTGAAGACCTGGGCTCTGGCTAAGAAGGGAGCTTGCTTCTACGCAAGAGTGGCAAAGACCAGGGACCACCGGGCTACTGCTACGTGCAAACCACAGGGGCCCACGGACACAAGTAAGGAGACCAGGTGGGCACCACTCCTGAGAAAAGGGCAATGGTGAACACTCACAAGGCCGCTGCATCATCAAGGCATGAGACACTAGTGGCAAAGCTTAGGCTGGCAGCAAGGGGAAGCAGTGAGAGGGAAGACTGCACAGATCTGCCGACTGACTGGAGGAAGGCTGTGAGGCAAGGACATTAAGAGCTATCTTTACACCACCACGGCCTTTCTTCCCACCACTGCAATCGAGGAGGTCTTTTCAGTCTTCACCACCATTACCTGCATCCTAGCTTCCTTCACCCCCAGCAAGGTCTTACCATCTTTTGTTGATTTTGTGGCAAGCACCCCGCAGTCAATAACTCGCACATCTGCATAAGGTCTGCTTGCAGCATCAGTTTTCAGATTTTCTATCTGCTCAATGACTTCAAAACCAGAAATAACCAGTCCAAAGACAACATGTACCCTGTCACAATATAAATTCAGGAAAGAACTAGCTTAATAATTAAGCTACAAATAGTATCTGAGACAACTGTTATAAATGACATGTCCACAGACCCGAAAACAAAACCAAAGTGTCTGATGTACGAAGCAACTAGGAGGAAGTAAAACTTTGAAATTTGCTTCACAAAAGTAAACATTTGGGCCCCAATCAAGCCGGCCTCAGCTGTTGGTCCTTCTAACAATGTTTCTTAAACATTTTACAGTGAGGAGTCTGAAAACAGTCTGCACTTGGAAGTGAAAAACTGCCTTTATAGCTACCCTCAGGCCTGCGTAGCTGAGAAGCTCACCCAGAGCCACAGATGGAGACTCTGAAAAGTGACGTCAGAGCCCCAGGACCTCAGTGTCTCACTGTGATCCTTCAGGAAGAGCACGGCCTTGACATATCAACCCAGACATCAGCAAGAATAACTGGGTGAGGGTTTACCCATGGTCAGTCTCTGAGCTAGTCACCCTAACAGCTCCCCTACATAAAAAGAATGGAGCTCTTTCTTACCCATCCAGGTGTGGAGCAGGTTTTGTAGTACTGTGTAATAAACATCAATACAAAGATGAGGTCCAACACGCCATGTTTGGGTGAAGAGAGTGCAAGGGTTTAACCACAGCACGTGGAGGACAAAGAAGTAAAGATAAAAAGACAGGGAAAAAGTTAAACACAAAATATACGTAACATTAAAGACACCTCCCCCAAATAGCAGTAGTAGCCATTTTACCGATTTTTAAAAATCAAGGTTATAATGAATTACAAAAATCATCTCCATTAGACAATTTGCATATACAATACATAAAGTAGTTTTTATTTCAGTTATAGCCATAGATATATAACAAATATACATTAAAATTACTCTCAAATCTAAAACCACACATAAAAAAACTCAGACTTTATCAGCATAAACAGGAAAAACCCATCCGTCACTTGCCCCACAGAAGAATGGAGCTGGGTATGTGCCCACACAGCGAGGGCATTGTCCTATCTGTCCCTTCTCACACTGGGTCTGCCTGCAGCTTTTAGGCAGGCAGATGACACAAGGCCTCTGCAATCCTCTTCTTTCACCCAAAGTGAAATTCTGCCACTAACTGCAACTCTGATGGTGGTGAGGGTGTCCCTTCAACCTGCCAATCCTCCGACAGCAAAGACACATGGATAATATCACAGGCACCTCAGATTCCCACTCAGCTAGCTTCTTCCATCATCACACACTGTCAGCAGCATTCTGGGAAATCTATGGGGCTCATCTGATTAACATACTCTGAGCCCCACCTGATTTTTCCATAGCATTTTTACAGGTCTTCACACTATGCAAACAGCAGTATAAAAATCCAAAAGCAGATAATCAGAATACAATCACCTCAGTTTGTAAGAATGAAAAGTAGATGTCTGAGAGAGAGAAAAGGTCACTGGCTATTAGGCCATGTTCAAGCACTAAATTGTACCAGAAGCCCCCATATACATTTTTATGTTCGTTTTAAGGGACACGTTTTAAGACATGTATGTCAACGAAACACAATTTTAACCTCCACAACATTGCTAAAAATCTCTATTGTTTAAAATTGTAATGCTTATACTTACATTAAGAATATTCAGTTCTGTAAGACAACTATAGTATTTAATTTTAAAAGTTAAAATGTCAGCTTAAGATTCAGAAATTTGAAGAAAAATCTTGACTTTTAAAACCAAAACTCTTGAAGCTTGAGAAGTTGAGATTCAAGCCAGTTTAACTATAAAAATTAAAACAGGCAGCAAAAAGAAAGAAAAAAAACACACTAGTAAATCAGTGACCACCAATGCTTAACCCATGAAACTGGCATCCAGAAACCACTCTGGGCAGTAATTTAAAAATAGAAACGTGCTTCCCTTAATGTTAAAACTTTACCAAAGCATAATGAAAACAAGAAGAAACCAGTACATAAGCCAGACATAAATCCCACTGTACAAAAGATGTAAAGAGTGCATTTAAAAAAGAAGACACTCCCACTGTGTAAGGAAATCAGTGTAGAACAGGCACGAATAAGGAGTGGCACCCTTCTCTGGCCCCCTGCCCCCACCCCCGGCCTTCCTCTCTCTGCCCCACAGAATCTGGTACTAGGAAAGGCCTACACGCAAAGCCCCCTGGGCTACATCTTCAGCCCCAAGCTTTGCTTTTAATTCAAATGAAAACTTGAGAATAAACAGATTTGATCCTTCACTGTAGGAGTGAAGAAAATGAAGAAAAGAATCAACTCTTTCTTTCACCTGCCGAGACTGCCCCCAAATGGATGTGAATAATTTACCTGCATCTGCAATTCAGGATACAGAAATATGAACTAGTATTTTAAGTGAGTACTAAGAATATTGAAAATATTTAAGAAGCCTGTTGGGAGTAGAAATCCCAATGTAAAGAAGGCTCACTGGTACTGGGCTGACAAACCTACATGGTTAAAGGACATCAGCAAAATTACAAAAAGCAGGTAATAAAAGGGCAGCAGCATGATTTGCCCCATGGCATGACTGAACAGGGCAGCATTCACACACTCTTAGGTGTATTATTTCCCTTTCAAAACTGTGCAGCTCTTTAAAGAGCCACACAGCAGTGACAGACACTAGGGAAAGAAGACTTTAAGGCGGCCAGAGATTATCACAAATGTGTACATTTATACATGCTCATTAAAAGATACCTTAGGGAGAAACAACCAAAGAACATTTCAAATTTAAACTCTTTCAATAGTTACACATTTTTATTTTCCTGTCATAGAGATACTAATTTTCTAGTTTCCTCCTGAATCTACTTTAAAAATACATGAGCAAGGGTTCACTTAAAACTTATAAATCCTAGAAATTGAAAATTGCTACTGTTATTCCAAAGAGCAATCTAAATTTTTTATATCATTATCAGAGAAGTTCTTGGCCTTATGCAGACATTACTAGTTCCACATTGCAATAAGATCTAAAACCATAATATAAAATATAATTCTACTCTCCCAACGGAAGAGTGTAGAAAGAAATTTACTGTACACAAGAGACTGAAATTAAGATACACTTCTCAGGATTAACCACAACAATAAAACACACTTGTTGTACATGTACTGCTGCTATACAGAACAGGCAGAAAGTTATTTTTCTTAAAATGTTTCAATGCATTGTAACGACAGAATTAAAGACATAAAGGCAAAGAAAGAAAAAGAGCCTTAGAGTAATGAGACATTACCTTTGGAGCGCACGGTGTAACACTCTTTCTGTAAATTTTACACAAAAACGGCAAGAAATAAATTGTAATACACTTTTAAGACAAGACTGAATCTATGTTTTAATATCAATATAACTTTGAAATTAAATATTTTAAGAATTTTATGCAAAGCGAGAAAGCTTTTTTAAATGGAGGGCTCTAAATTTTCTTTCACAAAAGATATTTATGTAAAGATAAAACATGCTTAAGAAAAGCCTTAACGTAGTTAAAGGAGGGCTCTGCTCAGATCCTTAATATTTTAACACAGGATGCCAATAAAAGCTAGTAACAAAACATCACACTTCCTTTCAAAAAGCCCAGAAACTAGCTAAGAAGACTACCATAAAACTCTGAATGCCCAAGAGCAGTTACAGCACTACTAGTCAAAAATCAAACCTTCAGGGGAAAGAGGCTGAGTTAAGATAATTCAAGACAAAATTTCAAGGAACGTTTTACTAATGTCTGTTATACAGTTAAAGAAACTTTCATATTTCTACATTGGAAACCTTGTTTTCAGCCACATATCAAAACAGACGGTTTTCAGGTTGTTTGGACTGTAGTTATTATTATGCCTATAATATATACTTTGAAGTTTGTAAGTCACTAATACAATAGCAATGGAATCATAAAGCAATGTAACTGGAACTTTAGGGATTTTTCTCAGAGGATTAAAGGGAAGAGAAATGAAAGTATGAGTGCTATTAAAACTTGGCCACCGTGTTTTCTATTTGTATCTTATCTGATTTTCCCCATTATAAAGATTTTTTTTCTTCAAAGACCATACACTGTCTGATCACTTTTAACTGATTAAATCTTAAACATATACATTACTACTCAGACCAGAAGTCCTACTACAGAATGGACAAAATGCTTTATAAGGTTTTCAGACATATTAAATCTTACAATTTTTGTTTGTTTTGCTTTTTTTTGGTACGGGGATTGGAACTTGGGACCTTCTGCTTGCAAGGCAGGCAGCAGAACTACTGAGTTAAATCCCCGGCTAAACTAAATCTTAGACTATTAAAAAATAAGCACTGGGCCAGGGATTTAGCTCAGTGGTGCTGCCACCTACCTTGCAAGTGCAAGGTCCTGAGTTCAATCCCTGGTACCAAAAAAAAAAAAAAAAAAGCATAACTTCTTATAAAGTCTTTTGACACATGGGTGTCAAAAAAGAAATATGTTTGAAATAATGTAGTTTTCAATAAATGTAAAAAAGTTCTCTAGTGTAAAATGGTAAAAAGAAGGAACTAAAGATAACCTGCTTCTAACTCAGTCTTGGACATGTTTCTTTTGTTCAAGTGTTAAAACCACACCCCCGTCAAGGAAGGGGCACCAAATTGTACACAATGACACAGCTCACACGAGAGCAACTGAAAACTCACTCAGCCTCTTGCACACTCTGCTCATGTGCTCCATCCATACAAAAGAGCTGGATGTCACCAGAAACAGAGTTTCTTCCATGCTGCTAACGCCTGTGCCATATAAGCACCAGCTAACGTTAAGCGTGGATGTCAGGGACGACAGGGTACTCAGAGACTGCTCATGGTTGAGTGCAACAAACATGTTTGCTCATGAAGGTTTTTTACCACCCTGTCCAAAACAGCGGGGAGGAAAAAGCTAAACCTCCTCGGGCTATTAATACTGACTAGCACCCCCCCACACGAATGTGGTGGGAATAACATTTCTACCCCAAATCTCCCTTTGCACCTCAGATGTTGACACAGCCTCACATGGCCCTTCAGCCTCCGCCTTCTCTGCTCCTCTGCTGGGGTGGGCACTCCATTCATTTACCTGTGCAGCCACTTGCAAGTCTAGTCCCTCAGTGATGAAGAAAACTGCAATGTCATGTCTGTACTCCTCCCTTGGCCCTATTTATGACTGCCAGAACATGACACAGGGCTGGGTGGAGCACAGTGTTGAGTGTGTGCTTAGGCAGCACCAGACCCTGGGCTTAATACCCAGCACCATAACCCTACCAAAATTTTTTTTTTTTTTTTTTTTTTTTGTGACAGGGTCTTTCTATATAGCCTAGGCTGGCCTAGAACTTGTGGTCCTCCTGCCTGTCTCCTGCGTGCCAGGACTGCAGGTGTGTAGGTTACTGTGACCACACCAGTGACCAGTGACAAGGACTGTCCTCCACAGCTCTGTGGGCCTCTACTCTACAGCTGTGACTAAGGACCCACAGCTCCTGTTGTAAGAGCATCTGGCCTCTGTGAGGCAACCTCTCTCGCTGGTGACAATCAGTCCACAGTTAGATGTTCTCTAGGAAGGACAATGTCTACACAGGAACCCTTCTTGCTGTGACCATGTTTTCACAGCAAAACGTTAAAGAATAGATACTTTATAAACAAGAAAGACAAAACTAACTCAAGGCACAAAGGAAATACAACTAAAACCATGGCTTCTTGGAAGCTAGTTTAGTGTCCTCATCCTGAAGAGCTATTAATAACAAAGGCTGTAAATGATCTACCTGATCTTCCTAATTAGTACTTTATGTAGAATAATCTTCAACTTTTTAATAAATATATATAAAAACAATGAAAACTAGAACCACAATTATTGCTACTAATAGCAGAAAGGGAAAAACATTTTCCCAAGTAGCATTGTAATTTCCAGCAAAATCCTCACTACTTCCAATACTTAACAAAATAAATTCAGAGTGGGTGATTATTCAGTTTATCATGTGCAGCATTCTCTTCCTAGCCAACAGTTTCTTCCAGATTGTGAGTAAAGTCTGCATAACTTGGTCTTTACATCATTGTTCTTCCTTCTTTAACATCATCTAGAGAACTAAAAGAATGTCCGCATGATCTCTGAAATCTCTCTCCACTCTAATAAAACTATACTTTAACAGCTGTTTTATTTTTGCCATGCTGGGGATCAAACCCAGTACCCTGTGCACACAGGCAAGTGCTCCACCACTGAGGTCCATCTCCTTCCCTACAGATTTTATTGTGGTTTCTTCCTCATCTTTGACCTAGAAAATAAGTAATAATAAAAAGAACTAAATGAGTTAACACTAAATACTAAATGACTTGGTAACTTGGTTGGTACTTTGGTAACTTTGGTCCCAAGCTGTAGAATGCCTTCAAAAATGCTTCAGTGTGAACAGACACTTGTTTCCTCAATGACTCATGGGGACAGTACCATCTCTCAACTCTTTGACATTTCTTGGGCGATTACCATTTCAAAAAGTATCAATTTTCTTCTATAGAAGACCCTTGAAACAAAATCATTATGACTAATATAGTGGTAGATGTAATTAGTTATGGTAAAAATTATCAACAGCTTTATAGATGAAAATATGATTTTCATCATACATACAGTTGTTCCAGCCAAAAAGAGTAATAATATAAAACTATGCTGAATAAAAATGACATAGGCCTTAGGAAAGGCAGCTGTCAATTGAGTAAGTAAAAAAAAACAATGCTCAAAGCACAGGAATCTTTCAGCAATGTGTTGCAAAACGCCCACACTAACAGCACCAAATAGTCCTTGGGAACTGCAGAGTAACAGATTTATAATTTAAACTACAAGTGCAACAGTGCAAAATAAAAATATATTAAAAGTCCTAATAAGTCTATAAAACAGGCAGTTCTTTTATTACCATCCATCCTTAACTCTTTTTCAGAACTGCTGTTCACAGTGCACATGAGGAGCTGAGGCCACTGGTAGGCGGTGGCTACCCCTGGGAATCAGCAATTAGCTCTGTGTCGGTCACCGCCAATACCTGCAATGAGGCACGACCTAAACAGAGAGCATTACTCTTCCAGCACCAGAAGGGTGTGGGCTTGCAAGAGACTTTCAAAGATTTTCCTTTTAGGGGTCACATCTCCATTTAACCCATCCTTTCAATAAAAGTAAGGATACATTTTGTTCAGTGATGTATCAGTTTGATTTTACCATGCAAAGTACTGGACGTGGTATTTTTAGCCAGCACAAAGACAGTACAGGCACAAAATTTTCTTTTAAAAAAGAAAGATGAGAATTACTCATCAAAAAAATTACTTCCAAGACTGCTTTTTTAACTGCAAATTTCTTCCTAGAAGTAAACTTCAAACTAAATTTTGACCAAACTGAGAGTAGAAAATCTTGATCACAAGTTCATAGCAATATTAGTGCTACCTACAGTTAATAATGAAAACAAGTTTAAAATTTTCAATCCTAACATACTAATGTTAAAATTTTCATTTGACATTTTTCAAAAAGTAGTGGCACACACAGCTACTCAAGAAAGCTAAGGCAGAAGGATCACCACCAGTTTGAGGTCAGCCTGGGCAACTTATATCTCATCTCAAAAAACTAAAACAAAAGAAAACAAGTAGTCTAATGTAAAATGAGGCCGTGTAGAAAACAATGATGGCCTTTACTAAACATTCATGGGAAAGACAAATACTAAGTAACATAAAAACAAAATACTCAAAATTTCCTGAAATGCCTCTAGTCTAGATTTTAATTAATGTATGTAAATGTACCAGTTTTAACTTAACCTTTTGCAAACAAGGTAATCTGTATGCAATGATGGCAAGAAGCTGCTGCTACCTGATAAATCATATTTTAAATGTAATGCCATAAGAAAGGAAATTGAAAAGAAACTTTAGAGCCCTCAGATGGTAGCTTCTTGACCAATGAATGAATCATTAGTTTTTCATGTTCACAGTTCAGATAAGCTTAAAAATGGAAATGGGAAACCTCAAGAGTAACCAGGTACTACATAAAGTCACCCTGAGAAGCTTTTGAAACATTTCTACTTTTTATTGGCCCTTAAGATGGTTAGGAGTAGAAAACTACTCTAGCAAAAAGGTCTGATAACTGATAATCTATGGAATCAAGAAACCGGAACAACTGTGCTGGGCTTTTTCTGTATAGCTCCAAGCACAATCATTTCTTATAACTTTCCATTTTTTAGATATTCTTACATACAACATGTCCCTTATCTGAACTTTATCAGATCACGCTGGAAATCTATTTTTCAGACCAATTTAAAATATGGGTTTGTTTTTCTAATAAAGCATGAACAATTTATTCCTCTAAAGACAAGGAAGCGCCATTCATGTTTATTCATTTAGAAAGATGTCAAAGAAAACTTTTACTGATAAACCATAAATAAAATATTTCTCCAACATATATAGTACAAATGAGATTTACTTCTCATCAAAAGCATTAAACCTCCTGCTGGACAATTATCATTCTTATTTCATATGAAGGGACAAACAGATTTGGGAGTGGCTTTAGATAACATATAACTACAAGTATGCCAAAAGCCTTTTTTTAGAATTTTCACATGAGAAATAAGTTTTAGTTGTGCATGCATGTACCACCACATGAAGATATTTGTGTTTTACAAAGCAAACTTAGCAGTCTGAAATTTCCTGATAATCTCATTACAACTTCTGGCAGAAGTGACAAGAACATTAAATTAATTCAATTATGCAGGAAAACCTCACAAAGTTTTGAGTTTTTTAAAATGCTGGTTCAATACTATTTCAATACAACAGCAGAAAATAGTACTATTCTCAAAACTGGCCCAAAGAGCAACAGTAAATAAGAGAGAGAGGAAAAAAAAAGCATGCAATGGTTTATTCACATTGACTTCCTTCCATCCCAAGGGTACCTTTGATCCTACACTATGAGCAATTTTTAAATGTTCTTCAATAGCTTATATTTTGATCTAGGTTTTATAAATAAATCCCTCAAATGTGGTCAGGGCTGAAGCCAATTTTTCTTTTTATGATGAAAGTAGATTTTTAAAATAACATATCTTCAAGTAATATTTTTTTTGTCCATTCTTCAAATCCAGGATATATGCTCAATGCAAATGTTAGAGATTACCAGTCACCCTACAACATTACAATAATAAAACCCAAGTTGATAAAATGTTATCATTAAAGTTGGTTTAATTATACCATCTTTCTCATGAACAGCGCTTCTCTGTTTAGGAAAAACTTAACTCTGAATTATGCCTACTCACATGAAAAACTGGGAACCATTGGTATGTTTCCCTCGATTTGCCATTGACAAAAGGAACGCTCTGTCATGTTTGAGAATAAAGTTTTCATCTGTTTGAAGAAAACACAAATTTGTCAGTTTCCAACTATTAACCACTTCTAAAGTAATGCTTAAGTAATAAATAGAAAGCAAAGGATGAAATTTCTCTTCTGGTCAGTACAGATACTTGAAATATTTAGAAAAAAAATTTTAACTAATCAAATAACAAGAGCATAAATGGCCAAAGATACTAATTAAAGCCTTGAAGAAAAGAACATGTATTTAATACTTTATACAAACAGCCTTAGAATAGTCACTTTTAGAAGTAACATTTTTTGATTAAATGATATATAAACTATCAGCTTTCAGGAAAAACTAGAAAGAATTTTTAGAAAAAATCCCTATAGTATTAGCTTATATCCATTCATCAATTAGTCTGATGAATGCACTACACATGGATGGACTCTAATATTCCTCTTATGTGGTTCAATTTCATTTGGTGAACTTAATTATTCAAATGAATTAAAGTTAGACTATGAGAGCAGAAAACATAAAATTTTAGGGATATGTCTACATTAAGTGTGTGGGGATCACAAGGAAGAAAATTTTGTAAAAATAAAATTTAAAGAGTAAACTACAATTTTAAGGTACAAAAGTATCGCCACAGTGAACAACCCCATTCAAGTGGGCTATAGCATTAAGTTCAAACTACAACATGCTAATACAACCAGCTAAACAGCTGTTTCCTACTAGTTCAAGGAAAAAATGTCATTAAAGATCACTTGGAGATTATTTTAATTCCAGCAGAAACATCCTTAAAATTAACTTAAATTTTCCGTTAATATTCACACAAGCAAGTCTTTCTTTAAAACAAACAGAAACATAGAAAACTTTAAAAAATGATTACCTTGGGAACAGCCTTCTGAAAAAGAGTAGTAATCCATTTTCTCCCAAAGGAAATATAAAAGACTATTATAACACTGAAGCTTTTAAAGCATTAAAACCTAGTAATATTGGATCTCATTATAAATCTCTGCAACTGACTTTTCTAAGGCTTTTTGGGGCATGTGCAGTAGTTAGATTTATGCAAATGCTACTACTGTAGGAATAAAACACAATCATATAGTTCCAGTACACAAAAGAAAACATACAAACCTTTGAGAAAGGAGGAAATACCAACTTTTATTCAAAGAAATTACATTGTTTAGGGGGAAAAACACAACTAGATTCTCTTCCCTTGTGTAGAACTAATAACCCATTGGGAAAAGAAAAAAGATACAGATGCATGTATGAAATAACAAAGAATTTCCAAGTCTTCAAGCAATATAGAAATCCAGACACAACCTGACCCAGACTGTCCATAAATTCATTAGGAAGGGTGCAAGGAAAAAGAATTGGAGTTTGTGTTACTGAGCTTTGTTCTCTTACCTTTTCATTTTGCAAAAGACCACATTCTCTATAAACAAAAGAATATGTTGACAGTTTTAGGCAGGAAGATAGGAGTTTTCATGTATAAAGTTGCCTAACCTCCATGCTGAAAGTCATGTTTAACCATAAAGTTAGCCTTAATTAATCTTGTCAATTTAAAGTTACATATAACATATAATTTATCCCCAAATTCATGCAGATAAAGTATTTTCATGCAGCATTAGTTTCATGCAAAAAGTGAACTATAAGTAAACTTCTTCTCATTAAAAGTATATGACCAAACTTCCTTTAATAACAGAACTGAAAGAAAAGACCATAAAATACTAGGCCTTACCTTTAAAATATCCACCATAAATAGATTCTCCACCTTTTCCATTACCTGCAAATGTGAGTTACATTAAGTCACAATGAAAATGAAAAATATAGTAATTAATACATACAAATTAATTTTGGTGGTTTCAATTTGCTAAAGGAAACCTTGAGCCCTCAACTATTACAGAGATCATAATTCTAAGAGTCCCTAATTAACTTAATCTTTATTTATTTATTTATTTATTTATTTATCTATTTATTTATTTATTTATTTTCCTTTTGGTTTTTTGAGACAGGGTCTCACTATGTAGTTGAGACTGACCTGGAACTCACTATGTAGCCCGGGCTGGTCTCGAACTCACAGCGATCCTCCCGCCTCAGCCTCCCGAGTGCTGGGATTACAGGCGTGCGCCACCACGCTCGGCTTAACTTCATCTTTAAAACATTGCAATAAATACCATCAAAAAATGATCTCCCTGGCCCACTTATGTGAAGCAGTACCACACCAATAAAGTTCTAGAATAAATTCAAATGGATAGAACTCTGGCATTCATCATTAGGGAAGTCATTAAGTAATTATGTAATAATAAGACACACATGCATATATACAGAATAGTTTCTCTGGTGTGAAAAGTTAGTATAGGTAAGATACAAATTGTGTAATTGATAATGTGAAATAGGAAGAAAAGGGCTAAAGGTGTAGGGGAAGTGGGAAGGG